CTCAGCTGAAACATGACATATTCAACTTCAGAATTATCTGTTAAATGTAATTCAAAGTTCATTTCATTGAGTTTTGCTTACCGATTTTAAAGGGCTTGTTTCTCTGAGCTCAACTATGTATTCAGCCATTTTGACACCTATTCCCTGAATGATGCACAAAAGAGAGAGAATTTCAGAAGGCAGCAAATCAGTTTTAAGAACACAAATATGTGCTGTTTGTTTGACATGAACCTTCAACTCCAGTAGCTCCTCCCTGCAATTAACAAAAAAAAAAAACAGTTAAATTTCATTTGTACAATTGAGTGTTAAAAAAAATGAAAGAAATGAAAATGAGGATATTTTGAAAAGACTATGAACCGTTACCTGTTGGCTGTATTCAAGAAGTCAATATACTCTTTAAGCAGGACGTTCTGTGAAATAAGAAACAGAGAGATGAGGATCGCATATTCAACAGCTTAAACTTATGGAGTTACAAGTAACAATTGTACCTTTAAGTTTGACCCACAAGCAGTGAATTTATGAAGTGGGGTGCGTGTTTTTTGACTTCTATTGTTCCTCTCCGGAGGAGGAGTTTTTGGAGTCTCTGGCTCAAAGAGGAGGGTGCAATCTCCATTTGTGAATAAGGGTTCATTGAGGGGCTTTTGCTTTATATTGGTGTTGAGAGGAGAGAGAGCTTTTCTTAAGGAACTTCGTAGTGTGCTTTTCCTCTCACACTGACAGGTGATGAGTCGAAATTTCTGGCAGAGCTTTCCTCCTGGTTTGATGCCTCACCTATGCAGATATCAATATAGAAGCTATTAATATTTCAAATAACTAAACATGCAAAAATAAGACAGTCATTCAATTTGTTCAGGGTGTTTGAAGCAGCATAGCAAGTAAACAATTCATGCATAGCAGAAAAATACCAGGTAAACTTGTATTTGATTCCAATACAGATTCACCAGCTCCAGCATTGCCCTCTTCTTTATCACCAGCTAATTGCAGACTCTGAAAAGCAATTCGGACTCATAAATACACAATGACATATAATATGATAACTAACTTGGAATGCATTTAGTAGCATTTCATTCCCATGTGGAGCTACTAAACTTGTTGACGCCAAAAAGTGGTTCTCTGACTTTGAGGGTCAACTTAGTAATTTAATGCCTTCGGAATCCTTAAGGCCTCGGTAGGGAGTGTGATCTGCAAAAATGAGAGAACGCTCGGTAAGACCCAAGGCACTGGTGTGGTACCGGCCGAAGGCTCTCCGATGCTTAAGTAAGTTCGGGAATAGAAAGTTCAACTGACAGATCAATAGGCTTATATGCCGTTAGTTCTTATTACCTCTATTTTGGGATAGTTGGCCTCTTTTATAGGTCTTGGGAGGTGTGCATTTTGTTGATAATTTCGATGTGGGACTGTGGACGTCGCTTGGGAGCATGCCACGTGTCCCAGGGGGGGTTGCCCTAAACGGAGCGATCGGTAGGTAGGATGCCTAGGGCTTTCCTGACCATGCTTGATTTCCTCCACGTGTCTTGTTCTCATTGGCTGTTTATTTTGGGTGTAAACAAAACTAGAACTTTGTTCTAAAGTTGTTAACCAATTATCATTCCCAATAATGTGAAAACCAGAGTTACACAATGCACGATAGAATGAGAATGTTAATCAATGGGAGTTTCATTATTAAATAGTAATTACCTCAAAATTAGAATCAACGGTGCTTTTATTATAGAAAATGTTCCTGAAAGGCACAGTGATTGTCCTGCAAAAAATGTTAACCAATCAGGCTACATAGCATAAGGATGTACCATTCAACTAGTCACTCGTACCTTTCTTTGGCATTACAGGCGCTTCTGTTAGTCATAACCTTGGCTTTCACAGAGCTGAGGTTGATGGTGGGTTTCTTGACATTGGCAAAAGAACTTGGAGTTTTCTGCAACAAGGGAGAATTGAATGCTTGAATTCTTTGTGCACTCTTTGTCTTTCCTCTTGATTCAAGCCAAGCACGAAGTTTGGCTTCCATGTCAACTTTAACCTTTGGAGTCTCTTGCTTCTGAGCTGAAGGAACAAAATTGGTGCTTGGAGTTATGCTACGTGCAACTATTAACTCAATGGTTCACTGAAAATAGTGATAAAAGTTAGTGCTTGGAGTTATTGTTACTGAATATGTGACGATGATTTTGTTTCATTTATCATCGTAATTTTCTTTTCTGTGCTATATTATCTGTGATTACTATTTTATTTTCTATAATCATGCTGGATAATATAGAATTCCAGCTGTTATGGGTAAAAAAAGGCAAAGATATTTTCATAATTTACTATGTTTTCCATATACTCAAATACTAATTGGCAGATAGGATCACACGAATATGATTGATCATTGAGGAGGTAAGCCATGCACATCATCTCCATCAGATCCATTGATCACAATTTGATCTTACGCATCAGTAATCCAACGGTGGAGAAACTTAAAGGAAGAGGTACAGTTTCAGAAGACACCAGAAACACCCACCCTAACAATGTAGGCCATAAAGACGCGAGGGAAAACGGACAGATACGTGGAAGAAAATAGGCAAAAAGGGATTGGACCGATATGCATGGATGGACATGAAGTATGATCATGACTCGTGTACGGTGCACATAACCCCACTCCCTCCTCCCCTGCACTACAAATTGAGGGTCATGGCCTTCCGTAAAACTCGTTCGTATGAGAGTTAGTGTTTATCTGGTTTATATCAATTTGATCATAAATTTCCGTTGTGATTTTTTATCTCATTCCAAAAATGTCGTCGTGCTGTGAAGGCAAATGTGGTTGTGGGCCTGGATGCAAGTGCGGCAGCGGATGTGGCGGGTAAGTTTCTGTTTGTTTTCCTGGAAACCAGAAAAGAAAACTTCCCCAGAAAAATTTTCTGCTCTGTTTTTTCTCTTTCTTTTTTTGTTGTCTTTAAATCAAGCCCTGGTCAAATTGATATCATTTTTCATTATGTGGGTGTTTATGAATCTTCATGCAGGTCCGAGATGTGCCCAGATATTTCCATGGAACAGAGCACCACAACTGAGACCCTTAAAATGGGGGTTGCACCTCAAACCTCGTATGTATTTGGTCACATCCACGAAATCCCATATGATATTTTTTTACACTTTTCTTATTTGAAGATTTTGTGCTAATTTTTTTGCTAATTAATTTGTAATTGGGTTTTTTATTTGCAGTCATTTTGAGGCTTCTGAGATGGGTGTTGCTGCTGCGAGTGGATGCAAGTGTGGAGACAACTGCACCTGCAACCCCTGTAAGTGTGGAAAGTGAAAGAAAGATGACAGCTTTTGAAGCAGAGGATGATGGACTTGTAATATTGTAGCAAGTAATCTATGCGTCGTGTGTGGTTTTTATGATCCAAAATACCAAGTTTGTGTGTTTTAGGAACCGAGTTAGGAACTGAGTTTTAGAATAAAGTGGTCATGGGCGTCTCTTTGCAGATCCTTCTAGGCTAAGATTTGATAAGGGTGATCCCAGGCATGCCTGCTTGTGTCTGTTTTCATTGTACAAAAGTAGTATCTATATATGTATGTGGGCTTCTGAGGTGTTTGTTTGACTTGGTGGATCATATTTTATGTAATTGTGAGGAGAAAGAGAGAGAGTTTTTGATGTTATGAATGAAAACTAGCTCCTTTCTTTTACTTTAATTTGTGGGATTAATTACGGTTTTGGAGATAAGGGTGACGTCTTTGTGCATTATTTAAGGATTGGCGAAAAAGAACACAACAGGTCAACAAGATTTATACTTATCTGGAAGAGATTTTAATGTACATGTGTTAACAAGACTTTAAACTTATCTAAAAGAAATTTCAATTAAGTTTTAAATATGCCATTTAACCAAAAAAATTATTTAAGGATTTGTAACCCAACAAAATAATGTGAAAGTAGTGGAGAAAAGTGGAATTCTACTCTCTTGTCTTTTTCTGTAATTGAAAGATTATTGAAAACAGCCTCAATGCCATAACCAGATAAGATTGCAAATAAAGATTGCATGTTGTAGACTTGGGCCTGGGGAAGTTGGCTAGAGTGGATGGGTCTAGTTGGCTAGAGCGAATGTGTAGTTGGTTAGAGTGGATGGGTCTAATTGGCTAGGGAAGTTGGCCAGAGAAGATGTGTAACTTATATATAAAAAAGGACAATGCTTAGCTCGTGATATAGCCATTTCTTCTCCATACAAAATGTGGCCTCTTACAAAATGACACCTGTTTTTTTCTTTCTTATCTTTTTTTTCTTTCACAACTCTCTCTCTCCCTCACCCACTCGCCTCTCCTCGCCTCCCGTGCTCTCTCTTCCACCATTCCCAAAATTTCCAAAACTCCCCAATAAATAACTCAATAAAATTAAAAATTATAAAGGAGAGAAATCAATACGTAGTGTTTGGGTGATGATGATGGAGTAGTGATGGGAAGAGAAAGGGGCTGAAAATTTCTTCTAAATAGTTGCAGGGGAAGAGACAGAGATGGGGAGAAGAGAGAAGAGAGAGCTGGGGGAGGAGAGGAGAGTGGGTGAGAAGAGAGAGGGAGAGTCAGTGAAACCAAAAAAAAAAAAAACAAAACAAAACAACATGTGGCGAGCCAAGCATTGTCCTGTAAAAAATAAATAAAAAAGATTGCAAGAAAAAATAAATAAAAAAGATTGCAAGGCTAAAATTAATCTGTAGTACATTGCAAGGCTACACAAATCCAACAGAGAAGGTCTTTTTTAGTTTTACAAGGACACATGTAATTCACATCAGCATGGAATCTGATGAGCTAATTGTACAGACTCTGCTTCATAATGCTTACTACTCGACCTGTGAAATCTCTGAGCAACTGGGAGTTGCTTTTGTTTGCTTGTCAAATACTCCCACCGCAGCTTTATTAAACAGGTTAACAATCTGTTAAACAAAATTTAGAAGTAGATTAGCATCTAATACATCATCTAATGGAAAAAGTTTTGACTCGAATGTAAAACTATCTTTTAAGTTCACCTGCTTAGATGAGAGGCCTATTTTCTCCAAATCACTCAGCTGAAACATGACATATTCAACTTCAGAATTATCTGTTAAATGTAATTCAAAGTTCATTTCATTGAGTTTTGCTTACCGATTTTAAAGGGCTTGTTTCTCTGAGCTCAACTATGTATTCAGCCATTTTGACACCTATTCCCTGAATGATACACAAAAGAGGGAGAATTTCAGAAGGCAGCAAATCAGTTTTAAGAACACAAATATGTGCTGTTTGTTTGACATGAACCTTCAACTCCAGTAGCTCCTCCCTGCAATTAACAAAGAACAGTTAAATTTCATTTGTACAATTGAGTGTAAAAAAATGAAAGAAAAGAAAATGAGGATGTTTTGAAAAGACAACGAACCGTTACCTGTTGGCTGTATTCAAGAAGTCAATATACTCTTTAAGCAGGACGTTCTGTGAAATAAGAAACAGAGAGATGAGGATCGCATATTCAACAGCTTAAACTTATGGAGTTACAAGTAACAATTGTACCTTTAAGTTTGACCCACAAGCAGTGAATTTATGAAGTGGGGTGCGTGTTTTTTGACTTCTATTGTTCCTCTCCGGAGGAGGAGTTTTTGGAGTCTCTGGCTCAAAGAGGAGGGTGCAATCTCCATTTGTGAATAAGGGTTCATTGAGGGGCTTTTGCTTTATATTGGTGTTGAGAGGAGAGAGAGCTTTTCTTAAGGAACGTCGTAGTGTGCTTTTCCTCTCACTGACAGGTGATGAGTCGAAATTTCTGGCAGAGCTTTCCTCCTGGTTTGATGCCTCACCTATGCAGATATCAATATAGAAGCTATTAATATTTCAAATAACTAAACATGCAAAAATAAGACAGTCATTCAATTTGTTCAGGGTGTTTGAAGCAGCATAGCAAGTAAACAATTCATGCATAGCAGAAAAATACCAGGTAAACTTGTATTTGATTCCAATACAGATTCACCAGCTCCAGCATTGCCCTCTTCTTTATCACCAGCTAATTGCAAACTCTGAAAAGCAATTCAGACTCATAAATACACAATGACATATAATATGATAACTAACTTGGAATGCATTTAGTAGCGTTTCATTCCCATGTGGAGCTACTAAACTAGAACTTTTTTCTAAAGTTGTTAGCCAATAATCATTCCCAATAATGTGAAAACCAGAGTTACACAATACACGATAGAATGATAATGTTAATCAATGGGAGTTTCATTATTAAATAGTAATTACCTCAAAATTAGAATCAACGGTGCTTTTATTATAGAAAATGTTCCTGAAAGGCACAGTGATTGTCCTGCAAAAAATGTTAACAAATCAGGCAAGAGTGAGTAGTACATAGCATAAGGATGTACCATTCAACTAGTTACTTGTACCTTTCTTTGGCATTACAGGCGCTTCTGTTAGTCATAACCTTGGCTTTCACAGAGCTGAGGTTGATGGTGGGTTTCTTGACATTGGCAAAAGAACTTGGAGTTTTCCCCAACAAGGGAGAATTGAATGCTTGAATTCTTTGTGCACTCTTTGTCTTTCCTCTTGATTCAAGCCAAGCACGAAGTTTGGCTTCCATGTCAACTTTAACCTTTGGAGTCTCTTGCTTCTGAGCTGAAGGAACAAAATTGGTGATGTGGCGTGACCGAGCTGCCAAGCTGACAGTATGAACAGACTCCGGGTACCCTCCTGGATTCTATTATCAAAGAAAAATGGATTACAAAATAAATCACCGAAAAAAAATACAAGTGACAGGCCAGACCAAAGCATTGCTAACTCAAACTCCATACCAAGCAAGCAACCATCAAAGCCTGACTCATCCCACCTAGCGAGTCTTGCAATATACGAGTCAATTTACTCTCCCTGTAGGGAACTCGGGATAAGTTGTTGTTCAATGCATAAATGACATTAGACAAGGCAAACAAGGACTGGTTGATCTTTGCACTCTCTTGTAGACGAATCCCTTCGTTGCAAGTTCTTCTATTATCTTCATTGCCTGTTTGAAGTACACATGTAGATTAAATATGAGAAGACAAAAACCATAAACTCAATTCCCTAGTGAATTTCACCTTACTTAAGCTACTGGAAAAAGGTTAGGAATACGAAAAAGACCTGCTAAGTCTATGAGATTCAACTTCCCAGTAACAACAGCCGCAGAACCATCATCACAAGGAGTGGAAACGGCAATCACAAGGACCCCATGGCTCCTACTAGAAACATCATTCAGACCTGTATGTGCGACTTTCCGCCTCTGAATCCCACAAGAAAGAGCCTCATAAAACTCAGGCATGGACTTTACAGGGACCCGAGAGAGTCCCCTAAGATGAATCTGCCCATCTTTGTCATCCAAAACCGCAATTTCCTTGGCTTTGATCTCTAACAGGTCATAACACCTGTCCATATAGACCTCGTAGTATGAAATTTCAACTGTGCTTCCTGTGCACTGGCACATAGACATGATTGTGGACATGGCCAGCGGCATTAGACCCGGCATCTCATCTGTGCCCTGGCACATCAATCACATGCTGAATTAAATACTGCAGAAGAAAATTCTTCAAAGCGAACACTTGAAGCTGCATTTAGTTACTTGGGCAACACAAAATTTTTTGTAGACAACACTACCATATAATTCAGAATTTTCATTTTCTTAAGGGAAAAGTAGAGATGAAGTTCAGTACTTCATTGATCCTAATACAAAGTTTTTTGGGGCCAATCAATGCATTGAACTTTCCACATTCATAGAAATGTCCATGATTAACCAAATTAATGCCTTCATCAAACTTAAATGCCTTACTAATGAGGGAAAAAACACTGAACCCAACAAAACTTTCATCTTTTTGGATAAATCAAATTCAAACCTGCATAGTGTAAGTCTTTCCACTTCCGGTAGCTCCATAGGCAAACACCGTAGCATTGCAGCCATGAAAGAGTCCTGGAATCAAAGGGCTCACTTCTCTGTAGAAGATCCGACCAACATTGTTGTCCTCTTGGGCAAAGAAAGAGTCTAACCGGTAACACTCGTTTCGGCTACACCCAGAAAACCAAAAATCATCCATAATTCAAAACCCAGCTTCCAAAAAAGATAAAACCCAATAAATTTCTTCGAATTATCTGACAGAAAACTAAGAAAATCCCTCACCTTGATTCTTTATCTTTGAGATAAACAGCCACTTCCTCAGTAGAAGACTCACATTCTTGTTCAATTACTGAAACACACGGCATCTGATCTCCGTTATTGTCAGCGATCTCGTGGGAAAGAAAAGGACGAACCCTCACAATGACCCTGACCTTAGAACTTGAATTGGGGTTGGCTTTTGCTGGAGTTGCAGAACTATCTAGAACTAGACCACCCTCCATTAGAGAAGAAAAATCTAGCTTGCGCTTGAAGAGAAAGAGAGAGGTTGGGGAGTTGAATTTGCAGAGAGAGAGATAGAGAGGAGGGAATTGTAACTGAAAGCAGTAGATTAGAGGGAAGAAGAAGGTGGTTTTGAAACTAATTGACAATACCGTTGGTAGATACAGAACACAAAAGTTTGGGCCTCGCTTTTCTAGTTTGAATTTGGATTTGGGGAGCAAACTTGCCGTTGGGCCTGTGGGGCCCCACTATTTTCTATATTATTAAGTGGGCCCCTATGGTCA